CACACACACACACATCACACACGCACACACAACACACACACACACACACACACACACACACACACACACACACACATATACACACACTCAGAAACTCTCTACCTTCAATGGTTGTACTGATCTTGATAGAACTTCCCGCCTCCACCTTGACATCCTCCAGTTTGTCAACGACTTTAGGTTTACTCTCTACCTCAGTCACCTCAGCTGCCAGTTGAGTTACTTGACTCTCCTCTACATCCACAGAGGAAGAGGCCTCGATGGACGTCTTCTCTTCGGTAATCTTGGAAACCGTGCAAATATGTCATACATGTAGTTAACACATCTTTAGAAAGTTATTACTTTGAAATAAGAAAACCAAAGCATGCAATTTATTAAGAAAACAAACATTAATATTGTCATTAATTTGTCAGTTCATACACATACTGAATTAGTTGTTATCTTTTTTGCGTTGTTGTCCGTGTTTAATTGAAATCAATGGCTATATTTCAAGCAGTTGCTTGTTTTTAAAGGTCTTAACTTTGATCCCCACGCATCCCCCATCACTCTCCTTCTTTCTGTCGCTATCTGTCTCTTTCTCCATTCATGGCTCATTTTTTCTCAACAACCCCCCCCCCCTTTTTTTCTCTCTCTTACCGTTTCTTTTACCCTCAGCTTATATATACATTTAATAATTCTTTTTTTTAAACATGCACGTTTCCTAACTGAACACCAGTTATGCTATTTGTAAAAATTCGCAATATTGTATTATAAGTGTGTAAAGACTATAAATTATCACAAACCTTAGAAGTCGAGACTTCTGTCTCTGCTTGTAGAGCCAATTTCTCTGTCTCTTCTTCTGTTGCAGATGCAGCAGTTTCAACGTCTATAGACAAAAAAAAGTAAGATTATGAACAGCACGTACAGATTTATCTCCCAAAAGGGCGCGTACATAATATACTCTTTAACATTTTTAACATCACAAATTTTAAGAGCGTATAGCTATAAGACTACACGTCCAATTAGGCTACTTTGAAATTTGTACACATATCACTCAAGCTTATTGGCGTTCGTGAACTGTACTCACTAAAGAGCACTGGTCTATTGTTTTTGTCTGACGATGTCATTCACGGGGGTTTTTGTATTTTGTGAAATACAGTGAAAATGTGTTGGTAAACTTGAAAACAAAAACTACACTCCCAAAGTTGGTCTCTTTCCAAATTTTTAACCACAAAAAAGTGATTTCTCTTTATCGATTCCCCACGGTTATAGGGGCTGCCAACATACGCCATCAGGTCGGGTCGGGTCGGGTTGGGCCGATCGAGTAGTTGGGGCTAGCCAAATTGAGGGCGCAAAGCGGCCATCGTAGCTCAAACTGATCGACTCGGTCGGTGACCTACAAAAACAAACGAGTTTGTTTTTCAGGCCTGCGAATCGCGCGATCGGGTGGTTTGCAGCCAATCACCACAAGGCTGAGTCACCAGTCCATTTTACCCATGAATATATTAACTAGGCTTACGTTACTCTGGGAATTCCCAGTTTCGGTCTCACGCATTTGACAGTCTTCTCACAGCGGGTTTGGAGCCCTCATAGGCCTAGAGGAAGAAGAAGACGAATAAGAAGAAAGAGGAGGAGCATTACAGAGGGAGGGTAGTGAGAGTGACAGGGAGTGAGAGAGATAAGTTGAGAGATATATACAGAGACCTAGCAAATGTTTCTGATGTATATATGGGAAGTGAGAAATAGACAGAAAGGAGAGAGACACCAAAGCAAGCAAGCTAGCAACTAAGAAAGCACTCACACACACATGCACATACACACACGCTCACTCACACACACACACACACACACACACACACACACACACACACACACACACACAAAGGGCGACAGAGAGAGGGAGTGCAGGAAGTCCCAGAGCACTGTAGGCCTAGATCTACTTAATGTATTCATGGGTCAAAGGTTCAGCAAATCGTAACCCGGTTTACGCCCTCTGTGTAGTCGCATGTAGGTTAAAGATTTCTCTACTTTAACTTCCAGGTCGTCGGGTACAATCGCGGCGGGGTTGTAGTGTGCACTGAAACCGACAGAAAGCGACCCGACCCGACCCAATGACCCGACCCGACCCGACCCGACCCGACCCGACCCGACCCGACCCGACCCGACCCGAACCGATCTGCATTCACTAGTGGGCACCCCTTATTAGGCTGAATGATTCAGAAAGAAATCACATTATTGAAATTATGCTACAGGTGGGCAGTCCACTTACATCAGTGGCGAGAAGGTTCAACGTGAGTAGACGTAGACACACTGTGTATGCCACACGGGATCACATGGCAACGATAGGCTCCCAAAAGGATAGACCCAAGCGAGTAGGACGCAGAAAGACAAAACAGAAGGTGGACGCATCTATCCTAACACAACGCGTGAGAAATCAATTTCAACCGGCAAACAAAGACCCAGGATGAGTCGAACATACTTAGAAATGACAGTCCGAGATTTGTCATGACTTTTCTTCTTCGTCTGAAAGAGAAGAACCTTTGTGCTAGGGGCCCAGTGTGACGCATAAAATTACAGCGCATCACGTCCTGCACAGACTGCACTGGGCACAGCGTCGCGTGTGATGGCCACGTCGTATTTGGAATACATACACATGTTTTCAGAAGAGTCCCAATTTCGATGGCAACCAAAGTTTACATCCTAGCTTGCTTCAGACAAGCAAATAATTTCGGTTGAGCTTGTGTCAAGGTGTAGGCTGGAATCAGTGACGTTGGCGAGACCACGCTTGTGTCTATTCATGAGAGCATAACAGCTCAAAGCTAAATCAATCAAGTTCTCGAGCTCAATCACACGCTACTGAAAGCTGTCACTTTTCCTTTTGACCCGTGACAACTATTAGTTCAAAATAGAAGATTAAAAACATTCTTAACTTTGCTTTAAAGTGTTTTCCTAGCTGTAAAATGAATGCACTGTCTTATTTGAAATTTTCAGACAGATTTCATAAGTATTAGTCAAGATATTTCTTTTAATATGAGGTGTCAAGTTAAAATGTTAAAGAGTAGAAGATCACCTTCGCATCATATATTCTGAGTTCTTATCATTCTGTGCGTCTTACTTGTGCACTTCTATCTAACCTCAAGCTGAGTCAGGCCAGAATATTGCTTTAACTGCATAAACGACAAGACAGACTTAAAGGAGGAATATCCATATCAAATAACGAACACAAACTATACGGGGAAATATTTTTTTTAAACTTATCACTAATCTCTTTATATGCCTTCTACGATGTGTCAGGGAAGGTCAAGATTGTCAGTATTAAGAAAGTTAGAATATTAGCCTTTTATTCATCACGCACCTCCAACGTTCACCCTGACGGTGTGGGTGACAGTGCCGTGAGAGTTTGTGGCCGTACACACGTACTCGCCACTGTCCTGGGCCTCACTGTCAGGAATCTCCAGATAGTAAGAACCACGTGACTCGTACAGACGGACCCTACGACTGGACCTCACACGACGTCCGTCCTTCTCCCACGTCACTGTGGGCGCGGGGTCACCTAGATGTTCAAACAGGACTATTAAAATGCATTGAGTACACCTAGAAACAGCAGGTTACTAGGAATGGAACGTATGATAAAATGAAAGATAGTCTGTCAGTGGACAAAAACCAAAATAAGAAAATAAAAGGGAATGAATGAAAGGAAATATCCTGAAACATAAAATCAGTAACTCATCGACTCAGGTAAATGTAAGAATTGTATTTCAAAATTTCAAACACATACAGCTATAATTCGGTTCTACGGCCTCTCTATTACAATAACCAAAACTTTGAATAAAGTTTTTGAAACTAAAATTCTACTTTCGGATATCTTCAGTGTTTAGTTGTCTCTGAAATTAAAGTATAACCATGTGAACCTACCTTTCGGAGTGCAGACTAACTTGACAGAATCAAACTCAGCCACATTCACATCTTCGGGCGCCAACACAAACTTAGGAATGCGTGGATCAGCCTCGGGACTAAAGGAAAACAAACAAATTGGAGAAAAGAATTACTATAACAGACCATATTAAGTTGAAAGTCACCTTTTTAATCTTTCAAGTTACTGTACATTATAATGCTCTCATTTTAAGTGTGTCTTTTTGTTTTGTTCGGTCTGCTTTAAGTGTTTGTTTTTTAAATTTTGTTTTTGTTATTGTTTAATTTCTTTTCAGTGTGAATGTGTACGTATGTATGTATGTGTGTATATATGAGTGTGTGTGTGTGTGTGTGTGTGTGTGTGTGTGTGTGTGTGTGTGTGTGTATGTGTGTGTGTGAGAGAGAGATAGAGAGAGAGAGAGAGAGAGAGAGAGAAAGAGAGTGTGTGTGCGTATGTCATCGTGGGGGGGGGGGGGCAGCTTTGGTTTTAGCGAATGGAAGCAAGCTCATTAACAGTTGCTTTCAGATGCGATCTGTTGATAGCTAAACGTGAAATAACCATGAATAATATACATAATAATATACATTTCATTTAGAGCAAAGTAACTGTGAAGGTTAAAAAATAGACACACAATAAGTAAGACAGCTGACTTGAATAAAAAGTCTGACGACTCAGAATCTAAGGAATTTCTGTTCAAATGTATGTGCCTGTTTCACCTAAATTAGGTTATATAATAGGTGGGGCCTCGAATTAAACTCTCATCTCCGATAAGACCGAGCCAATTGCATTTAGAGCTTTGAAAAACTCCACCAATCAATCTGACTTCCAGAACACTTAGTTGGGGATTAGAAAGCAGAGTCATCTTTTTACCATATCAACTAAATTAATAGAGCTCTGGCATTGGTAGTGTGAGGCGATTGTCTTCGAAGTACGTTTTCTTGGATGGATGTCAGCTAACATCATTAACATTACCATATAAGGACAGATCAGCGACAGGCATCGGCGATAATGGTTTTCCACTTATATCGTTGCTTAGACGCTCTAAAAAAGCTTCATTATCCTGACCCTTCTCCATCACCCGTCTGTTTCAGGCTCTCCCAAAAGATTGCCTTGCCTCGTTTGATCTAGCTAAGATATTATTTTAATCGCCACAAAGACACGCTGGCTGACCTTGGAGCTCGGACTGTCTTCTCTGTCTCAACTGTGCCTGTCACGCTGACCTCAAAGTCCGAGGTCGTCTTCCCGGCAGAGCTCAGGGCAGTAACTGTGTAAGTCCCGGCGTCTTCTTTGGTGGCGTCCTTGATTTCCAAGGTGTACACGTCATTCTCTGACGTCATAGAATAGTGATCACTGGCTTGAATTGTTTGTTCAACCCTGGACCAAGTAACTTCGGGTTTAGGTGTTCCTATAAGAATACAAAAAAATGGCCAAATTAACAATCAACAGGCATCTTAAGAAACGAGCTGCATGTAGAAAATATTAATTAGATAGAAGCATCTAAATCCGCGAGGGATTTTTCACTCACCCTCTCTCTCTCTCTCTCTCTCTCTCTCTCTCTCTCTCTCTCTCTCTCTCTCTTCTCTGTTAAATAGACTGACAAATACACATAAGCTCATACGCCACTGACATACAGTGAAGACACAGGACGTAAGTACACTTACAAGACAGATTCAAACGTACAAACGTACCTTCAATGGTTGTACTGATCTTGATAGAACTTCCCGCCTCCACTTTGACATCCTCCAGTTTGTCCACGACCATAGGTTTACTCTCCACCTCAGTCACCTCAGCTGACAGTTGAGTTACTTGACTCTCCTCTACATCCACAGAGGAAGAGGTCTCGAGGAATGTCTTCTCTTCGGTAATCTTTAAAAAGATAACAAAAACTTATTGATTTTGTAATATGTGACGAAAAGGTTTATGAAAATAAGGAAAGGAAAACACATGTTTCTTCACAAGAAAGGAAGTTCGAGACTGCTTCTACATAGTTGAATGAAGATACATAAACGAACTAACGGCTATATTCCTACCGCCTGTTCTCTTTCATCTTGTTTTACTCTTCAGGTTTTTTTCTAAATAGGCTGACATTATACTGATGGCTCTGACACTTGCAATTTGAGGACCTTGGCTGGGCTTTAGTTCATTTAGCCTTCCCTCTATCTTACCTTTCCACATTCTCTCTCTCTCTCTCTCTCTCTCTCTCTCTCTCTCTCTATCTATCTATCTATCTATCTATCTATCTATCTATCTATCTGTCTATCTTTGACTCTATATCCCGGCTTGGCTTTGATTCATGTAACCATCACTCTTTGTTTTCCATCCATATATGTTGCTAATGACAGGGACATACACAAGTAATTATAGTCAACACAACTTGTTTTATTCCAGTAAAATTGGAGATCAAAACACATGACAGCTTTTACGAACCTTTGTTGATGACACTTCGGACTCTGTTTGTATAGCCAGCTTCTCTGTCTCTTCTTCTTTGGCAGGCTCAACCGTTTCAATATCTGAGGGCAAAACAAAAAAAAAAGAATTAAGAAATACAGCCCGCACTGGTTGGTCGAATAACGAGCAAGCGTGTAATAGACAACCTACCTCGCTAAATTACCTGGAGCTTATTTAAAAATCAGTTGATCATGATGCCGCCCAACAGTAAAACATAATAAAATAAGATCAACAAAGTATTAAGCTGTTCATATTATTATTGTATTTTATTTCTTCATTGCCCACCTTTGGGAGTTTCTTCATTGCCCACCTTTGGGAGTATAACTGGATTTAGTTGCAACTTTTCTACATTTAGATTCATCTTCACCTTCACCTGTCCCGTAATCTAGCTGACAGTTGGGACACTAAGTTAGGTATTAGATTCAGCTTCCTCTCCACCAAGCGGCACTCAGCTTTCCGTAACATGGTGCACCAGTAATGTCTAAAGCATTCAATGGTTTTGTCTTCCCATCGTCTTCATGTCTGTTTCTTCGTCTCACTCCTTGTGCTGTTCCCTGTAGAATTGTCTTCTACAGTCCAGGTGATCGAAAGATGTACCCGTACCACTTCAGTTTGCGTCTCCTCACTGGAGTCAGGAGGTTTTCATACGGTCTAACTACGCGTCCAGTTTTGGTTCTCACTATATACCATTGGTTATATGATCTCAATACTAAAATAAAGAGGAGCTGGATTCTCTCCTGTGATTTTATTTTTATTTTGATGTCTACTGATATGTTCCACGTTTCACACGAATATATAAGGCCGGACACGGCAAGGGAACGTATGTGGCATTATAGATCCCTGAGATTTAAATCTACAAAAGGCAAAAGGTCTCCAATTTAGAATTTATTGAATCAAAATCAAACAGTAAATGGAGACCAATTGAAAAAAATTGAGAGGTCTGGGTATAACAAACAATAAGCCAATATAATATAATGAAATTAGGCTTCAAAGATGTGTCAGTAACAATAATAAATAGTAATTGCATTTTTATAGCGCATATCCATTCTCTACAGTATGTATGCAATATGCATTTTACAACTATCATTACCCCTAAAAGACATTAGTACATTCATAAACATTTTCGACTCCTCAAGATTCGCTCAGTGTAGGCAGAGGATTAAGTTCTGAAACACTATATAATAAACTGACAATATCTTGAGCTGTCTATTGCCGGATGCCGAGTCCCACCAGGATGAAAAGAGATACATTCGTGTTAAGTGCCTTTCCCAATGATACAACGACAGGCCTGTGACGGGGATCGAACCTATGACCTTTCAGTTACGAACCCGACAGCCTTGCCACCAAATTAGTACACCATTCTAGGCTTCAAGCTTATAAACATTTGGAAAATTAGACTAATAATAATTATCCGTAGTTTATTCCTCACATACCTCCAACGCACACCTTCACTGCGTGGGTTACTGTGCCATGAGAGTTTGTGGCCGTACACACGTATTCGCCACTGTCCTGGGCCTCACTGTCAGGAATCTCTAGATAGTAAGAACCACGTGACTCGTACAGACGAACCATACGACTGGACCTCACACGACGTCCGTCCTTCTCCCACGTCACTGTTGGTTCTGGGTCACCTGGAGGATAACAGAGAACAAAGAAACGTTAGTGGTTATATGGATGTTTTATTCAAGTAAATTCGAATTGTGTGTAGATGAGGGTAAAGGGGAGAGAGAGAGAGAGAGAGAGAGAGAGAGAGAGAGAGAGAGAGAGAGAGAGAGAGAGAGAAAGGGGAGAGATAACGAGTGTGTTTGTCTGTGTGTATGTTGGTGTGCGCGCGTGTGTGGGTGCACGTTTGTGTAAGTGTGTGTGTGTGAGTGTGTGTGTGTGTGTGTGTGTGTGTGTGTGTGTGTGTGTGTGTGTATGTGTATGCGTGCGCGTGCGTGAACATGTGTGCAACATCAACATAATATAAGCCTAATGCCCTCTCTATCTTAGTACGAGCGCATGCAACGACAAAAATAATATAATTTTGTTTCTCATTATAAATGTAATGGTAAACTTGGATAACTAGATTTAATATGAAATCATTACTTATGTAATTACGTTCTAACGCTAAGAGAAAATTTGAAAGAGTAAAAAAATAAAAGGTCACATTTGGCTAACAACAGAGTTTTCAGTATAATGACACTCATCAGGGGAGACTGCACAAAGTAGCATTAGAAAGATATGACAAGACGACTTTACGAATTACCCATGCTGGATAATTTACCTTAGTTAACGTCCAACCATACTTCTTTTTTGTAGGTGTGTGTGTGTGTATGTGTGTGTGTGTGTGTGTGTGTGTGTGTTTGTGTGTGTGTGTGTGTGTGTGTGTGTGTGTGTGTGTGTGTGTGTGTGTATGTGTGTGTGTGTCTGTGTAGGGGAGGGGCAGGTGTTTTTGGATGAGTGTTTTTTTCACTTTTCTAGAAACGACTTTAATGTGACTTAGACTCTTTATTTTTTGTAGCCGTTCGTTTTCTAGTTGGCAGTCTGGGCAATACCTTGAACAGCACAGACTAACTTGACAGCCTCAAACTCAGCAACACTGGCGTTCTCAGGGGCCACCTCAAACCTGGGGAGGCGGGGGTCCACCTCCACACTGTTGATGGAATTAATGTGGTATAATCGCTACTATAATGAGTGCGAGATAAAAATCAAAAGCAATAGCAGTATTTAAACTGTTTCAAGTTATTAAAATAATGTAAGAAGGGAGATGCAGGGAGAGAGATGGATAGATAGATAGATAGATAGATAGATAGATAGATAGATAGATAGATAGATAGATAGACAATAAATGTGACTGCCACAACTAGCGGGTTTACCAGCATGAACGACATACATCCCCCACTCCCGCAACAGCAAGTACACCAGTGAAGTAGAAATAAAAACAATAGAGGTATCAACATGGACAGTTGAAGAAGTAATAACAAACGTTTCTGATGCCAACGGAGCAGCATTACAATTTGTTAAAAATGCTGCCACCATCATTAATTAGATTTCGTCGTGTTATATGTTCGCTTTTTAGAACAAGCGGGCTAACCCAGATTTCGTGGTTTCTAGAAATCTTGACCTACACCAAAAATGGGCATCGCCATATCTACAGGAGAAGTTTGGTTTCATTTGGTGTGTGTATTTGTTTGGTTTTAGAGAAAACTCTCCTTCGTCTGTTAAAGAAACTGAACAAGCTACAAAAACTTTACTATCGATTTTATCAAAAGAGCATTTTTCGGGATAGCCCCCTTGTGCTTGAAAGCGACCAATATATAAATGTAAATCCTGACCTTGACCTGCAGAAACTACAGAAACTCTTTTCCCCAACATGCACTCACATAATATGTCGACCCTACACATAAACTCTTCTACTGACCTTGGAATCTTCTCAGTAACCTCTGTCGTCTGTGACGTCACAACGGTGGACGCCACACAGATTTCTATGTCGGTGTGGGTTTCACCAGCGGAGTTAAGGGCGGTAACTCTGTAGGTTCCAGTGTCAGCTTCTGTGGCGTCCTTGATCTCAAGGGTGTACACGTCACTCTCTGACGTCATCGTGTACCTGTTGTCGTCTTTGAGGATCTCTTCACCCTTTGACCACATGACCTCTGGTCTCGGTGTACCTAGAATAAATTTAACAGAAAATCAAAAGACATGAATACGATCGAATCGGCAGAAACATTATTTTGAAAACACCTGCGCACTTTCGATTGATAGGATAGTACTTCTAAAAATATTATTCTGCCATTGTTATCATTAAAGTTATTATTATTATTATTGTTATTATTATTATTATTATTATTATTATTATTATTATTATTATTATTACTATTATTATTATTATTATTATTATTATCATCATCATTATTATTATTATTATTATTATTATTATTATTATTATTTTCATCATAATCATAATAATCATTGTGAACATTATTATGATGAATGGACTAGATGGAGTTCCAAGAAAACATCAAACGTACAGATAACCATTATAAGAACCGTACATGAATACATTTTTTTGCAAAAGTAGTCTTAAACGGTAGGACAAATTGTGTTTTGTCTGGGTCTTCACTGACCTTCAATATTAGTGCTGATCTTAACAGAACCGCCTGCCTCCACTTTCACGTCCTCCAGTTTACCCAGAACTCTGGGCTTGCTTTCCTCATCGACCACCTCCACTGTCGGCTGAGGCTTCTTGCTCTCCTCTATGTCCACGCTGCTGGAGAACTCGAGAGATGTTTCCTCTTCCATAACCTGCATTCATTACATTTTATTATCATTTTGTATGCAGTGGAATGTATAACGCAGTTTAAAAACCGTATTTTAATACAGAATTGATTTACATAAAATGTCTAGGAGATATTTCTCAACACACACACACACACACACACACACACACACACACACACACACACAAACACACATACACACACACATACACACACATTCACACACACATACACACATACATACACGTGCTAATAACTGTCGTGAATACAACCAACTTGTCTTTCGCAGTCTCATATTAAGACCTTATGCAGTTGTGAGCGCCGTAAAACTCTTACTTAACAAGCAAACTAATAGTTTCAGGTTTCCAAAGTACGATCAGAGAATTAACATAATAATATTATACATGGGCAGTTTAGAGTAAGATAGAGGTTGTTGCACTAATCCCGCTACTTTCAAGTACTTACTTATGCTTCGTCCTTTTTAAGGCAAAATTTCGTTAGGTGTGACATTTTCTTTATATTGTGCAACTGGACTTCAGAGAGTGGCAGTGAAATAAACCAAAGAGATCTTTTCATTGACCTTTTATCTGCCCGTTTTGTTTGATTTTTATTTTCAAACAGATCATGGACTGGTTCGATATGGGCTTCGTTCGCTGAGGTCTCATCACGTGAGACACCCTAGATACAGGAGAGCCAAACTTCATGCACAGTAGCATTTCATTCCTTTCCTAGATTGTGTAGGAGGCTGTGAAGATGTTTTTTTGTAACCTCCAGCCATCCAGTCCTGGGGGCCATTCGAAGCTTGTAAAGTTGAAGTATAATATTTGCCTTTCATAGAGTTCCGAGGAATCAAGCAGGAACACGAACTTTTTCAGTATAAACTCAACCTTACCTTTGATGAAGATATGTCGGATTCAGCATCCACAACAAGAGCTGCTGGCTTCTCTGCTTCTTCTTCTGGCACAGATGCCGAAGCTATGACGTCTGTAGATAGATGTCCTTTTTTAAAAGTTGAGCGACTAAATTGGTTTGAAAAGATGTTGCAGGTCGCTTTACTAATCGTTTGTGTCTGATTACATGAGTGTGCTGGTAGTTCAGTTCGAAACACGATTGGTACAATGTTGGTGACCGTGGTTTGAATCCTTAGCGAGGTATTGAAATTTATCCTTTTAAGGAATTTACCCTGATTTTCCGTCCTCTAAGAACGACTCAATTTTGGATGTTGAAATCAGATCTTTCGTCTGTTAGATAACTGCAGTCTTTTGAAAAGAGCATTAAACTATTGTCGTTTTTTACATTGACTGTAATGTCTATTATCGTTATAAGGCCACTATACATATTGATGTTTTCTGTGTGTGCTTTACTTCATTGCACCAAACTAACCTGTTTTAGTTCTAAGATTTCCTCAGAATGTCTGACTTCAAGGAGTTTGTCCGAAGAAAACAAGCTAATTTAATGGTATAGTCAGAATTCCACCCTGCTTTGTTCCCTTTAAATCAGGGCTCCCGAAGGTGATAAAAGATTACGAAGCACTTCCTAGTAAACTTGTAGTGAAATTATAGCTACAGATGTGCCATGATTATATCGATTACTATAAAGAGGATAATGTTAGAAGTGAGCTTGGAGGGTCAACATATAAATGGATAGTTACCTCCAACTTGAACTTTTACGGCGTGTGTGACTGTGCCGTGAGAGTTGGTGGCCGTACACACGTACTCGCCACTGTCCTGGGCCTCACTGTCAGGAATCTCTAGATAGTAAGAACCACGTGACTCGTACAGACGGACCCTACGACTGGACCTCACACGACGTCCGTCCTTCTCCCACGTCACTGTGGGCGCTGGGTCACCTGCACGGATAGACAATGAATTGCTTTTCGTAAAGCTAGAGGATTGCAGGATGCTACCAAAACAAACAGACAAACAAATAAACATACAAATAAGCAAAACAGCCTAGAACACAAAGAAACAGGCATAACAAAAGAAAACGCATTTCAGTATGTTTGCTTGCGCTTATATTATTATAGTCTCATAGAATTATAAGGTGATACCGAAGTATATTACCACCTTTGCCCTGCTGAAAATATTGCGCTTTTTCAACAATACAGTAATTGTCATCTTGAGTAAAGTACTTATTTCATAGTGAATACAGAGGTAATGACATAATTGTTTGAAAAGTCAGGGTTCAAGAAATTTCAATTCTCGAGTCTTCATAAGGAGAAACGTCTCTATCACTGATAATAATATGCGATTGTTCGAATTACGAAAAGGGTATCATTGGTTTTAAAATAACAACCTTCAAATTGTATGCGTTTACTTAACGTTAAGCATTCAAATATCGTTAGTGCAAAGTATCAAATTAATTGTAAGTTCAATATGTGTATTCTGCTATTGCATTCTGCTGTGAGATCAATAAAAACCCTCTCTAGATTTATGATAAATAAACTATTTAATGCTCCCTGTGTCATGTACCGATATGGTACAGAATTTGTTCATGGCTTTTGACCATGTATGAACAATTCGTACACAAAAAGTGTTGATGTAGCGACACGAACCATAACCCATCTCCCTAGTTGTATAAAGGTATTTGGTTAAACAATTCATTTTACAAATGTATCATACTTTCCTCTGAGTTATAAATAAAACACTTTTGTGTTTACCACAAAGAGCCATCGGCCAAAGAAAGTTACAAGTTGAAATAAAACATTTATTAAGGTACTTTTCATGTTTCTCCTTGCATGCTATTGCGCAAGTTAAAGATAAAAGCTTTAACTGGCTCTCATATTGAGCATACATGATGTATTGTGTTAAACTTACCTTTTACTTCACAGACCAGCTTTACAGACTCAAAATCAGCAACAGTCACATTTTGAGGTTCCACGTCAAACCTGGGAATGCGAGGGTCCACCTCTTCACTGGAACAGTCACAGTTGTATAAAGCTTAGTCAATCAATATGATTTACTCTGTTACAAAAAATACACTTAAAAATTCATTTCATTTCTAAATAGACAAGCCATTTTAAATTCTGTTGGGGCAACAGTTAAACACCACTAGGTAATTACAATACCCTCGTGTGTCTCTCACTGCTGAGATAGCCGTTTTTCTTTCTCATTCTTCGTTCATTTCTCACATTAAGACTCTTAGAGAATATAAAACGTACAAAAAACAACTACATTCTGTACCCTACATACAACGAACAGAACAGTGGCCTGGGTTGTTCATTCCTGTTGTTCTGCTGATTACAGAACAGGTTTAACTGAGGGTGGGTGGTTGGCGGGTGCTCTGGTGTGGTTTGCTCCTTCTTTCCAATCAAACATCTATCGTCCTCATTTCCCCTTCTTCTTTTTTATGTTTGTTACTCTCTTGTAACACTTCTAATCTTCGGCACTTATATGACCTTTGTGTTGCAAGTGCGTAAAAACTCTTACTAATACTAAATACAGGTTTAACTTATGTCTTTTAAAGTGATTTTCTTTGTTACATTCTTGCTTTATTTTTACAAAATAGCTAATACATTGGATAATACAAGCTTTTTTTTTACAGGATACCTTGGCTTCCGTTTCTTGCCCTCTTCAACGGACACATCAGCGGCAGCCACGCTGACCTCAAAGGTCGAACTTGACTCTCCTACAGAGCTAAGGGCTGTAACCTTGTAGGAGCCTGAATCTGTCTCTGTGGCCTCCCTGATCTCCAAGCTGTACGTGTCGGTCTCTGACGTCACAGAGAAGCGACCGCCATCTTTAATCATTTTATCGTCCTTCGACCAAGTGACTTCTGGTTTGGGTGTCCCTAATTTATCATAGAAAAGGCGAGTAAGTCAAAAGAATACTTAAGAAGCCTAGATGAGCTTTGATTGAATTATTTGAACAGAAATGCAGATACAACCACATGAAGAGGATGACATAAGACAGGATCGTATGAGATTCATATATTTGAGATACTGCTTCTCTCGTATAATGCTTCCGCTATACAAAAGTCCAGGTTGCATAGCTATTTCTCCCGCTCTCTTTCTGTCTTTGAATTCTCCTACATCCATTACAAAAAACGAAAACGTCAGTGCAATGTGTCATGTCATACCTTCAATAGTGGTGCTGATCTTGATAGAACTGCCTGCCTCCATCTTGACATCCTCCAGTTTGTCAACGACCTTGGGTTTGCTCTCGACCTCGGTCACCTCAGCTAACAGTTGAGTCACCTGACTTTCCTCCACATTAACAGAGGCAGACGTCTCGAGAGATGTCTTTTCTTCGGCAGCCTTGGGTAATAAACATTATTTGTGAAAATCGCATCTCAATGTAGAGACAAGCACTGTCAACAACTTCTGCAAGTTAATCTAATATTATTAGGGCACGAGAATCAGGTATTTTGGATGTTGGCCATAAGTATTTTATTATTGTATTTTCTCACATTAAGACCCTCACGGAAATGATACTTGACAATCACTTTTCATTTATTCTGAACTAATTCAAGTATCTGTCTATGAATCATTGACGTGACACGCTCTTTCTAAAGCCTGTATAGTTTACTTACCAAGGAGGAGGATATCTCCGAACCTGCTTGCACCTCCAGACTCTCTGTGTCTTCAGTAAGGGCAGAGCTCGAAGTGGCAACATCTAAAGAAAAACATTCGCATTAACCAGAGTTATTTTGCGTTCTTTGCTTTTAATGTAAGATTGCTGATTATACCGCCTACAATGTTTCAGTCAATGGTATCGAAGCCATTGTTCCAATGTTGGATACAATATTGCATACACTTTAATGTTTAATATTTTTAAATTTGTTATAAGAAGAACGTCATATTTCCACTTCTTTAACTGTTTCCAAGTTTTTATAATTTCTTTAGAATAACAAGAAAACGTTTAAAAACCACGTACTTAATATTGTGGTTGGAATACAGCACGTAAAACATTGACGGGTGCACAAGGGATAGATTCAATAAGTGACAATTTCAAATCATTCAAACATTTTCGGGGAAACTGCTCTGTTTAAATCCGCCTCCACTGCACCTATATACAGCTATTGATATTCTCAGGGTAACAGCTGCTGATATTCTTTGCATACTAAGGGTTGTTTTCATAATCCGAGAGAAACATGTCATGCATGTTGAAGCAGTACCTCCAACTTGAACTTTCACGGTGTGTGTGATGGTGCCGTGAGAGTTTGTGGCCGTACACACGTACTCGCCACTGTCCTGGGCCTCACTGTCAGGAATCTCTAGATAGTAAGAACCACGTGACTCGTACAGACGGACCCTACGACTGGACCTCACACGACGTCCGTCCTTCTCCCACGTCACTGTGGGCGCTGGGTCACCTGCAGGGATATACACAGTGAAGACAAATGAATTGCAGTTCGTAAAAGTTAGAGGAATGCTGGATGATACCAAAACAAACAAATAAAACAACCAAGTAGGCTACACAAAGAAACAGACATAACGAAAGAAAACGCATTTCAATATGTCTGCTTGCCGCTTATTATTGATAGTCTCATAAAATCGTAAGGCAATACCAGTGCATACTATCACCTTGCCCTGCTGAAAATATTGAGCTATTTTAACAATACAGTAATGGTCATCTTGAGAAAAATACTTTTGTATCTGTGAACACAGATGAAATGACATAATTATTGTTTAAAAAGTCAGGTTTGAAAAATAGCAATTATCCAGTTTTCACAAAGATAGACGTCTCTATCATTGATATGCAATTGTCCGAAGTACGAAGAAGGTATCATTGGTTTTAGAATAACAACCTTTAATCTTTGATGAATTTACTTAACGTTTAGCATTCAAATATCGTGACGTTAGTTGCATAGTGCAAAGTAGCATAAGAGTTGAAAGTTCAATAATTGCATTCTACTGTGAGATCAATATAGATAATATAAAAAAATATAGATCATCTCTAGATTTATGAGAAAAGAACGATTTCATGCTCCCTGCGTCAAGTAACAATTTGGTTTAGAATTTCATGGCTTTTGACCATGTATGAACAATCCGTGCACGAAAAGTGTTGATGTAGCAACACGAACTAAAACCCGTCTCCCCAGTTGTAAAAGGGTATTTTGTTAAACAATTTACTATATCATACTTTTCTCTGACTTACAAAAAAACCCACTTTTGTGTCTACCACTAAGAGTCTTTGACCAAGGAAGGTTATACGTTTAAATAAAACATAAAGGTACTTTTCATGTTTCTTCCTCGATGCTATTGCACTAGTTAAGGATAAAAGTTTTACATGGCTCTCATATTGAGCATACATGATGTATTGTGTCAAACTTACCTTTCACTTCACAGACCAGCTTGACAGACTCAAACTCAGCAACAGTCACATTTTGAGGTTCCACGCCAAACCTGGGAATGCGGGGGTCCACCTCTTCACTGGAACAGACACAGTTGTATACACCTTAGACAATCAATATGATTTATTCTGTTACCAAAAAATACACTTAAAATTCCGTTTTTTTTTCAAAAAAGACAAGCCATTCTAACATTTGATGGGGCAACAGTTAAACACCACTTGGTAATTACAATACCGTCGTGTGTCTCTCACTGCTAAGAAAGCGTTTTTTCTTTTTCATGCTTAATTCATGTTTCATATTAATAAAGCCATTCTCTTAGAGAATATATAAAATGGGACAATAACATCTATACCCTAAATAAATCGAACAGAACAGAGGACTGAGTTGTTTGTTACTGTTGTTCTGTTGATTACAGAACAGGTTTAACTTTGTCTTTGACAGTGATTTTCTTTGTTAAATTCTAGCTTCCTTTTTACTAAATAGCTAATACATAGGACAATACAAGTTACATTTTTCAGGATACCTTGGCTTCGGTTTCTTGACCTCTTCAACGGACACATCAGCGGCAGCCACGCTGACCTCAAAGGTCGAGCTTGACTCTCCTACAGAGCTAAGGGCTGTAACCTTGTAAGAGCCTGAATCTGACTCTGTGGCCTCCCTGATCTCCAGGCTGTACGTGTCTGTCTCTGACGTCACAGAGAAGCGACCGCCGTCTTTAATCACTTTATCGTCCTTCGACCAAGTGACTTCTGGTTTGGGTGTCCCTAATTTTTCATAGAAAAGGCGGGTAAGTCAAGAAAATACTTAACAAGCCTAGAAGAGCTTTGATTGGATTATTCGAACTGAAATGAAGATACAACCACATAAAAAGGATGACATAAGACGACATCGTATGAGATGTCTATATTTGAAATACTGCTTCTCTCGTATAATGCATCAACTATACATAAGTCGAGGTTACTTAGCTATTTTCTCCCTCTCTCTTTCTCTCTTTGATTTCTCCTACACCCATCACAAAAGAACAAATACGTTAGTGCAATGTGTCACGTCATACCTTCAATAGTGGTGCTGATCTTGATAGAACTGCCTGCCTCTATCTTGACATCCTCCAATTTGTCAACGAACTTGGGTTTACTCTCGACCTCGGTCACCTCAGCTGACAGTTGAGTCACCTGACTTTCCTCCACATCAACAGAGGCAGATGCCTCGAGAGATGTCTTTTCTTCGGCAGCCTTTGGTGGTAAAATTTATTTGTGAAAATCGCATCTCGATGAAGAGACAAACAATGACAACAACTTCTGCAAGTTAGTATATTTATATTAGTGTACGAGAGTCGTGTATTATTGATGTTGGCTATAAGTATTTTATTATTGCATTTTCTCACATTAAGACCCTCACGGAAATAATACCTGACAATCACTTTTCATTTAATCTGAACTAAATCAAGTATCTGTCTATGAATCATTGACGTGAAACGCTCTTTCTAAAGCTTGTACAGTTTACGTACCAAGGAGGAGGATATTTCCGAATCTGCCTGTACCTCCAGACTCGCTGTGTCTTCAGTAAGGGCGGAGCTCGAAGTGGCAACATCTAAAGAAAAACATTCGCATTAACCAGAGTTATTTTGCGTTCTTTGCTTTTACTTTGACTTTGTTGATTATACCGTCTACACTTTTTCAGTCTGGAATGCTTGAACGTTTCAATAATAAGCATTGGTTTCGAAGCCATTCTTCCAAAGGAGGATATGGTATAGCATACACTTTAATGTTTAATATTTTTATTTGTTATAATAAAGAATTTTATATTTCCATTTCTTTAACTGTTTGCAAGTTTTTTTTACAATTTCTTTAGAATAAAAAGAAACCTTTAAAAACCATGTACTCAGTATTGTGGTTGGAATGCCAAATGTGAAACATAGACGGGTGCACTAGGGATAGATTTAATAAGTGACGTTTTCAAATCATTCCAACATTTTCGGGGAAACTGCTTTGTTTAAATCGGTGTCCACTGCCACTGCACCTATATATACAGCTATTGATATTCCCAGGGTTAACAGCTGCTTATGTTTCTTCTTTGCATACTAAGAGTTGTTTTCATAATCCGAGAGACACATGTCATGCATGTTGAAGCAGTACCTCCAACTTGAACTTTCACGGTGTGTGTGACTGTGCCGTGAGAGTTGGTGGCCGTACACACGTACTCGCCACTGTCCTGGGCCTCACTGTCAGGAATCTCTAGATAGTAAGAACCACGTGACTCGTACAGACGGACCCTACGACTGGACCTCACACGACGTCCGTCCTTCTCCCACGTCACTGTCGGCGCTGGGTCACCTAGGAAACACAAGAACAAGGAATGAAAGCAATGTAATAATGAATCATAAGGACCTGTTGTATTCTATTATTCTTAGAAGGGTATTTTTCCAGACAATTCTTTAAAAGCGGTAAAAATTAACAACACCCATACAATTTTTTTGCTACAAGCTTGATAACGTTCTTTGCTTTTTATGGCAAACGTTGAATGAGGACTTATGTTAAAAATGCAAACAATATGCTTGGAAGTACAATTTGTGAACATTATCACTAAATCGATTCTTCCTCACTCTTCCTGCTAAAATCAATTACTTAATAATTTTTTTATAACTCCAAAGCGGACGCCGTATCAATGTTGTAATTACCAGTAGGAACTTGAATCGATTATTAATCATTGATGCAAGCACATACCCTTGGCAGCACAAACGAGTTTAACCGCGTCAAACTCAGCGACGGTGACATTTTGTGGCGATACTTCAAACCTGGGAACATGTGGATCCACTTCCACACTGGAAAGTAAATAAAAAATAAGATAGTTATTTTAATAGTTCTCTTCGCAATATATCTTTTTTGTAGTAATTGGACATAATACAACATGACAATGTGTATCATCTTCACCTCTTGGGAATAGGAAACTGCATACCGTGAGGAAAAGAGAATCACTATTATAAAAAACAAAACAAAACAATGACAACATAACAGGCTTGAGGGATAGGCTTTTGGGCAAAAACTCTGAACAGCATAGGTATTGCAATAGACAATAAATGTAATACGGGTAGCATTTATAAAGCATAGCCAAACCTATTCAAACGACAAAATACTATTTATTTCAAACGACAAAATACTATTTATATCAGCAGACAGCTATTCTTAAAAAAAGAAAAATTATGCTTCTCAAGGTAAAATTCAGTTTGGCAAGACAAACACTTACTTTTCGATAAGATATGTTCAAATTGTTTTAAGTGTTAATAAATGTTTTGCAATTATGACTCCTTAACAGTTTCTTTGCTATCCTGGCGATTGTATTTACACATGTCTACATGCTTTTACAAGAAATGCACACTGAAGAACAGGTTTTGAGACTGTTCAGGAAGAAGGAGTGTAAGGGCTCTCGTGGTCTAGAGGTTACGATGTTTGTCGCTCCTTCAAAAGGTCCCGAGTTCGAAACCTGACAGCCACGGGAAATGTTCTTCTCTAAATATTTTCTCTTTTCATATTCTTTCCTGCTCTCTAACCATGCTATGCTGTCTGTTTTGGTTTCCAATTTTTTCGTCTCCCCCCCCCCACCCACCCCCCACCCATCGCCTCAACTTTACCTCCTCTTCTTGGCCCCTGACTCTTTCTGAAGCCTTTCTACTGCTACTCCGTGGCTCCCTCTTACTGCTGTCTTTCAGCTACACCCACTAATATTATGGTACGAAAGTCTTTTCAGAAAAGTACGAAAAAATTTTGGGGGGGGTTCCGGTGGAGATGAGCCACCTGTAAAAAATCCCTAGAGTGACAAAAACCGACAGAGCCCGTCTTCGCCCGCCCCGCACCCCCCCCGGGCCAATTTCAAAATTCCTACCAAACTGGACTACATTTAATGTGGCCCGGGCAATCATATTCCCTTATCCAGTTGCGGGCGCCGTAAAACACTTCCCCCCCCCCCCCGCCCCCCCCCCCAAAAAAAAAAGAAAGAAAAAAAGAGGGAAGAATGAATGCTTATTCACAGATCCAGTGCCTGATGTGACTAATTTGATCATAGCATTTCAAAACCTTAGTAAATCCTTGTAACGGTCACATTCCCTATAATCACCTGGGTGTGGCTTCCGTGATCTCTGTCGACTGTGAGCTGACCGGAGCCGCTACGGCGACTTCTATGTCTGTATGAGTTTCCCCAACAGAGCTAAGGGCGGTAACTCTGTAAGTCCCGGTGTCTGCTTCGGTGGCATCCTTGATCTCCAGAGTGTGCACATCACTGTCTGACGAAATTGAGAACCTACCGCCATCTTTGATTTTTTCACCTCCCTTTGACCACTTGACTTCTGATTTCGGTGTACCTAGCATGAGGAAAAGAACCTTAAAATACACTACGGAATACAATAACCCTTTCATGCCCCACCCAAATATGTAGATGAAACGATAAAATAATCTATACTCTCTGATTTCTATGGGGACACCATAATAACTGATTTAAAAAAACTAACTTAAAACTACTGTGATGGCCAATGATTTAACCAGACTGCAAACAAAGACCGAAAAAATCAACAAGTAGCCAGATGTGGTAGTGAGAAGTTAAGTGTTAAAAACAATCAAGAAACGACAAATGCAGTTTTTGAGACACCTGAATAGACATATTGGTCTTGAACATCTGGCAAAATTGAAGGCAAACGAGGCAGGAGTAGGCCAAGAGCAACCTACTTAGAGAACCTGGAGAAATGGGTAGCGGGGAAAGATCAGGGAAACGTAACTTTTTTTAGAGCATCCGAGCAAAGGAATGGATGGACAACCATGATCGCCGATGTCTGCCACAGATCTGGAACTGGATGATAATGAGCCAGATGTAAGTTAGTTTTGTAAACAGTATCTTATATACCAGTAGACTGCATTTGCAATTCACAATGACCGGTGAATTTCACAAAATTGACTTGTATGATGTAAAGACATGATTTCACTTGTATCGTTTTACCTTCAATAGTTGTGCTGATTGTAAGCGAGATTCCCGCCTCTGTCTTTATGTTTTCAGGCTTCTGAACCACTGTGGGCTTGCTTTCCACCTGTGTCACCTCAGCTGTTACGTCACGTGACTGACTCTCCTCCACCTCCACACTGCTTATGGTTTCTGTGGAAGTCTTCTCTTCGGTTGTCTAGAAAATTAGAAATGACGGTAAGGTAGTAGTAGTAGTAGTAGTAGTAGTAGTAGTAGTAGTAGTAGTAGTAGTAGTAGAAGTAGTAGTAGTAGTATGAGGAGGAGAAAGAGGAGGAGGAAGAGAAGGATGAGGAGGAAGAGGAGGAGGTAAAAGACGACGAGGACGAGAACAAAGAGGATGTGGTGATGGTAGACAAGAAAAAGTTTTCACCATAGAGTTAAAATCTCGCCTTGCTCCAAGAAATGTCACTGACTCTATTTCTTTTAGTGAAATCCTAGGTCGTAATGTTCTTAACAATTTGCTCCTTTCATGAGGTCATAGGTCAAAAATAGAAAGGTGGCAAACCTGAGAGGAAGAAATCTCTGAGTCCGCCTCCACTGTTAGTACACCCGTCTCCTGTGCTTCCTCTGTTGTGGTTGTAGATGTTTGAATATCTGAAACATTGAGTTGATATGATTTGTATACACTTTTTGATTAAGCGTTAAAAGTGGCATACTGTTTATTCTGCAGGACGGAGTATAAGATTATGCAAATTACAGTCACGTAACAAAGAACTAAAGCGATTAACATTTATAAGCAGTGGTCTCTATTCATTGCCGCATTGAAGGAAAAAAATTACATTCCTCAATTTTGAAATAACTCGACTCAAATGTAATATAAAGGTGCGTATTTCACTGTTTGTCCGATCTCGATCCACAGAACACACTAGATCTACACAAGACATCATCGATTGTAAACCCGTCCAAAACTTCATTCAAATGTACGCACACAATCTAAGCCAAGTAACAAGGCGACATTAAACAAACTCACACAAAAACGCACCCACCCACCCACCCACCCACCCACACACACACACACACACACACACACACACACACACACACACACACACACACACACACACACACAGAGAGAGAGAGAGCGAGAGAGAGAGAGAGAGAGCGAGAGAGAGAGAGAGAGAGAGAGAGAAAGAGAGAGAAACACACACCCATACACTGAATAATAGAGGGGGAGTTGTATGTGTGGGGGAGAGGTGCTTGGTTTAGAGCCACTAGGGTGTACAAACTAGAGGCCAAACGATGCTTAGGGGTACATAACACAATGTGTGGATGCAGCTGTTGCCCTGACAGAGGAACCTATAGAGCCTGCCTGTCTGTTTGTCTCTGTCTAGGCCCATCAAGGTCAATACACCAGTTATTTGCAATTGGTAGAAACCTGAAAGTCGGGGCTTCAGACCCACGCCAATGAATTTTAATTCTCTCCGACATAAGGAGAGTCGGACTAGACAGAGCTAGAGTTGTAGAACGATGTAACAGTACATTGTAAACATCCAGAATGGTCAGAAAGCTTCTCAGGTTGTGCTTCAAAAGTTTTGCTTGGGCCTTCGTGGTGTGGTGCTCAGAATATCTTTGGCTCATTTGATTATTTTTGTTAACTTTTCTTTGTTTTTAATTTAGGTAGCAGATGTAAGTTTTTGGTGAAGACGTTCAGGTAGGGCTAAAGCAGCACTCTCCACCCCACATGATGAGTAACTCCAGTCTACATAAGTACACTTACATTACCTTTCACCAAAACTTAACACAGCATCATATTATTATCATATTATTATCATAATAATAATAATAATAATAATAATAATAATAATAATAATAATAATGATGATGATGATGTAAATTGCATCTCACCTCCAACTTGAACTTTCACGGTGTGGGTGACAGTGCCGTGAGAGTTTGTGGCCGTACACACGTACTCGCCACTGTCCTGGGCCTCACTGTCAGGAATCTCTAGATAGTAAGAACCACGTGACTCGTACAGACGGACCCTACGACTGGACCTCACTCGGCGTCCGTCCTTCTCCCACGTCACTGTGGGCGCTGGGTCACCTGATGAGAAAATATGTTTTAGATGTCAGTACAAGAAGAATGCAAAGGAAAACGTTTAAGAAAAAGAAAGAATAGATTTTAAGACGCTACATGAGGGTCGAGTAATTTGTGTCAAAATAGAAAGAAAAAAACATAGTACAACTTATATTATGTTAATGTGATTCAGAGACATACGCCATATTATGCACCAATAATATCACATGGACATTAATTATACGTCACCATTTCTCTTATTATTTCTTCGGACTCTATACACCTCCCTCCCTCTCTTACATTCTCCCGCACTTTCTCCATTTTCCTCCTCTTCTCCCCCGTCTTCCTTTCTTCCAAATCCCCCCTCTCTCTCTCTTTCTCTGTCTGTATCTCTCTATCTATCTATTTGACTGGCAAACACACATACACACACGCGCACACACACACACACACACACCCTCACATAAACACGCCCAAATCTCTTAAAAGCTCAATCTTCTCCTCCGCTGTGTTTGTTCCACCAGTTCTACACGCAGTTTTCAACTTCCCTTAGCCACTCCATCTCAACAATCCCTTACCTTGAACAGAACAAACCAGTTTGATGTCTTCGAACTCGCCGATTGCCACATCCGTAGGCGCCACCTCAAATCTTGGTGTGTGTGGGTCCACTTCCAAACTGAATGACAAAACAACCACATGATATATCATTCTCTTTTTATCTTGGAAGAGAATACTAGTATTATAATAGGGAGATAGGTCACAATAGTATGTACATACATTTACACCAGGCGTGGGAAAGGATAGATTTGACTTCCATTTCTGTTCAACATAAAATGTGTCAAAACACGGCGTTCGTCAAATTTTGGGCATGTGGGGTTATCTTAAGTGCTGCTCATTTGTCTTTCTTTTGACGAATAAAACTCCCCATCTATCTTGTATAGAAGCCGAGACATTTTCAATTGAAGAAGGCACGGGCCGCCTGGTTTCAGTTGTAGAATTAGCGAGAAAAAAATACCCTAAAGTGTGATTGCCTCTGTAGCTTGAAAGTCTTTGGAAACTGTAAATTTACATTTCTTGAGTTTTTACTCGACTTTTTTTTTCTCAGCAAAACCCACACAGAAATATGTTCTTAAATGAGCATAAAAATGTTGAGAAAGAAATTTTTTTTAAAAATTGATAAAACTTGCAAAACCGCCGGAAAATTCAATTTCGTTACTTTGACGAGCGCCTGATTTCATCACATTGCCTCACAAATGTAGTTGTGTCGTAAGTGTGTGGGATCAATCATTTGTGTGCTCATTGTGTGTATTCAGTAGTAATCCTGATTGGTCGTCTTCTGAACTCAAAACACACCTGCGTGTATTGCATACGGCCTAAGGAAGACGTAATACATACTGAGAAAAAGCACACATTATAAATTTTGAGCTTACGTTCGACCTACATTTTTCGAAAGAAACATCGACATGATTTCATCAAATTTATGTTTGGACAAAACAATAAGCAATCAAAATATTATTATTGGTACAACAAAAAAGAGCTAACATTTATTGCTGTTGCCATATTGATGATGTTCATACCTGGGTTGCTGTTTCTTGACTTCGGCAGCAGCAACTTCAACCTGAATGTCTGTGCAAGTTTCTCCAGCAGAGCTAAGGGCAGTAACTCTGTATGTGCCACTGTCAGCCTCTGTGGCATTCATGATCTCCAGGGTGTACACGTCACCTTCACACCTGATAGAGAAGCGTCCGTCGTCTGTGATTGCCTTGCCACCGCTGGACCACGAGATTGTTGGTTTGGGCGTTCCTGTTGTATGGATAATAATATGCTTACTTTATTCCTATTATCCGAATTTAAGATTGGAACATTTTTACCCTTAAAAACGCTCCTTTTTATTCTTTTTTTCCCGTTCCGAATATCTATTTCAAAGTGATACTCGTTTATAGGTTGTAAATGCAAGTAGTAAGAATTTATTCATATAAATAACATCATAGTCCTTGTTACCTACTAACATGTTATTTGAACGTATTTCGTCTGTGGATGTAGAACAGACGAAAAGGCAAGTTGAAACAATATCTGCACAAAAGCTGTTGTCGGAATTTGGGGAAAAGCTCAAAGCATTCTGCTGTCCAAACTAAAGTCGTCATAATGGCAAAAATATAATAAGGGAAAATCAATCTTACGCATTTGTTCATTTACTCGAAAGAAACTATTCGGAAAGTAGCACCATCTGGTGTATCAGACATATCAAGCACATAGTGATAATTGATGAACGATCTCTTTTCACTGTTGACCTACTAAAATCTGATTTATGAAAGCATATAACTATTCCAATAGCAGAAATCTAACGGATGCTCACCTTCGAAGGAAACACTGAGAGTAACTGTTCCCCCAGCTGTTATTTTCACATCCTCCATTGTTTTCACCAGCTTTGGTTTTGTCTGCTCAACGATTTCTTCTTTCTTGTCCTCTTTCTGTTCTGGTGTCTTCTCAACTGGTTCTTCTTCCACTGGTTTGGACTTTGGAGAAACTTCAGCTGGTTCAGCAGCTGGTTGTTCTGTGTCTGTCTTGCCGTGAGGTGTAGTGATTTCTTCTGCTGGTTTTTCTGTTTCGGGCTTGGCCTCAGGTTTAATGGCTCCTTCAACAGGTTCAGGTTTTGGTTCTTCTGCCTTGGCTGGAGCTTCAATCTGCTCTGTAGCAGGCTCTGAAGGGGGTTCTTCATCTGCTGCAGCAGTTGGTACCGGGCCTCCAACGTTGACCTTCACAGTATGTTTGACACTGCCGTGATAGTTGGTGGCAGTACACACGTACTCGCCACTGTCCTGGGCCTCACTCTCCCGGATCTCCAAGCAGTAAGAACCACGTGACTCGTACACTCGGATCCTTCGGCCAGATCTCACTCGGCGTCCGTCCTTTTCCCACTTCACATTGGGAAGTGGGTCTCCTGGAGACATAAATATAACTTGCTCATATTAGCCATTGGGTTAAAACAAATCTGGTGAGCTTTATTCCTCTTTTGATCGGATTGTAGCCATAGCACAGTTAAAAAAAGAATAGATGTTTCTTTTTAGGAGCTAATCTGTGTAGTAGCTGAAGCGTATGAAATCTATAGCACACTATCTCTACTTCGGTTCAGGGTAATCACTCAAGTGTAAACGTCAAAGAAAGTGCCTTTTCTCAAAGACTATTCCTGAATCCTTCGTTGTTAAAAATGTCTACACATCCATACACTTTTAACAAATGTACTGTGCCCATTCCATCCTCACCTTTTGTCTTATTTCTAAGCGGAGAAGAATGCTCACTAGATCTATATCGTGGATAATTTAACAAAGAAACATGCAGCAAACCGACGCACTCATAAACGACAATATTCGAGGTAGATACAGATGTATACAGATGACGTAATATACTGGAAAGCATGAGCAATAAAGAAGAACCCTCTAATGCAGGGAGCGAATAAATCTGCAACAGTATAGAAGAGAGAAAAATAATATACTATAGACTTAGCAGTTGTTGTGTTGCACTGAAAAAAAACAACAACTTACAGAACCGATGAAATTTAAATACAGTTGAATGAAACCTACTTTTCTATCCACCTCTGTCTTGTGAATTTGTTATTAACACACGATTTTCACGCCATCACCACCACCCCACCCCACCCCACTTCTCTTTTTCCAGAAGACGGTAGTTGGATCTCCTTACGAACATAAAATACTGTTTTGAGATTTTAAAAAGAAGAACGAATCGTTGTCTTGCATTATATCCACTATGATTACTCAGACCCTCACCTTTAATAGCACAGACCAGTTTGATCTCCTCCAGCTCTCTGACAGCCACGTCTGAGGGTGCCTCCTCGAATCTTGGGAAGTTGGGATCTACCTCAACACTGAGATGAGTGACAAATCGTAGAGCATTCAATTATACTATACACAAGTATGAGGCTTTTACTTTTAGACAGAGGATGTGGAAATTACACGCACTCGTTTGGAGAGCCATTTATTGCAATGTAAATCAAGAATAAATGCTTGATTATTTGCAGTATATAGATAGATAGATAGATAGATAGATAGATAGATAGATAGATAGATAGATAGATAGGTAGGTAGGTAGATAGATAGATAGATAGATAGATAGATAGATTGATTGATTGATTGATAGATAGATAGAGGGAGAAGGGGAGAGAAGGAGGGAGGGAGAGAGAGAGAAGAGAGAGGGAGAGAGAGGGAGAGAGAAAGAGAGAGACAGAGAGAGAGAGAGAGAGAGAGAGAGAGGGAGAGAGAGAGAGAGAATGGGGAGGGGATGGAGAGATTGCTACCTCTCTCAAATGGCTTTTTTATTTTGGTCTCCTAGAGCCAGAGTAACATGAAATCCAACTAACCGATCGCCACTCCACACGGCCTAGGGGTCATACCACAGACGATCACCCTAGTGTAATAATATTCAGGTCAAATTAATCAGATGAACACCTTTATTAGCCTTTTTCGATATATGAGCCCAAGCACTTAGCATAATTAGATGGCAGAAGTAGTGTGAGGCTGTGATAAAAAATAAGGAAAATAAAATGCTAAAGAAAACAAAATTTGGGGTGGTGAGAAGGAAAGAAGTTGTCAATGACGTAAATTGTAAGTTACAAAAAACGTATATTAAGGAATGTTTTATATCTTTTAAACGTTGATTCCGTTATTTACGCAAAATAAGTCGCTCTACAAAGAAGCAATATATTATTTGTAACTCGGGAGCTGTTTACTTCGTACACAGGAAAAGGGTCATGAGAGTTATGACATATTTATTTTATCAAATGCTCAAAGAGGTAAAACTAAGTAACTATACTTACGTAGGTTCTGGTTTCTTGGTCTCTGCTGGGGAAACGTTGACATTTATGTCTGTGTAAGTTTCTCCAGCAGAGCTATGGGCAGTAATTCTGTATGTGCCACTGTCAGCCTCTGTGGCGTCATTAATCGCCAGGGTGTACACGTCACCTTCACACGTGACAGAGAAACGTCCGCTGTCTGGGATTGTCTTGCCTCCCTTTGACCATGTAATTGTTGGCTTAGGAGTTCCTGTACCCAAGAGGAAAATAGTTAAACTTGTTTTATGGACGATATTTTACCTTCCAAACCGAAAAATCTGATTAGAAAAGTTTAATTCAGACTGTTGATACTTATTTTCGACTCCGAGCCCAGAAGGATAATATTTAACTTGACATATGCCTCAAGCTTGAATACACGGTGGTATTCCTTTCAAAATTATTATATTTAAGCTGTTTTATGTATCCATGCTAGAGTTTTCTCTGTTTTCTTTTGTTTTGTTGTTGTAGTTTGATGTTGCTGCTGTTGCTGATGTTGCAAAGGTTTTCGTTGTTAATGTTGTAGTTGTTGTTTTTGTTGTCGCCGTCGTCGTTTTCTTTGTTGTTGCTATTGCTTTTGTTGTTGCAGTCTTGAGTGTGGTAGGCAGGGGGGGGGGGTCCTCTCCTCTCTTTTGGGGAAAAGGGGTAAGAGAAAGATGAAGATAGTCATAAATGAACAATCAGACTTCACATTTAAATTGAATGCGTTTCGGTAGGATCTATAAGAAAAGGTAACATACCTTCGATAGATGTGCTGAGAGTTACTTTTCCTCCAGACGTTGCTTTGACATCCTCAACCGTTTTGACCAGCTTCGGCTTTGTCTGCACAATTACTTCTTCTTTTTCCTCTTCATTTTCTTCCACCTTTTGCGGTGGTTCCTCGAGGTCTGTTTTGGATTTTGCAGTAAGGTCTTCCTCAGCAGGCTTGGAGGAGGCTGTCTCTGCGTCTGTCTTGCCTCCTGGAGCAGTGGTTTCCTTCTCAGGCGCTGGTGGTATTTCTTCAGTAGCAGGCTCGGCTTCAGGTGTAATTTCCTCTTTGATAGGTTCAGATGGTTGTTCTTCTGTCTTGGCCGGAGCTGGAACCTCTTCCTTTGGAAGGTCGGATGGTGGTTTTTCTCCAGCAGTTGGTATCGGGCCTCCAACGTTGACCTTCACAGTATGTTTGACACTGCCGTGATAGTTGGTGGCAGTACACACGTACTCGCCACTGTCCTGAACCTCGCCTTCTCGGATCTCCAAGCAGTAAGAACCACGTGACTCATACACCCGGATCCTTCGGCCAGACCTCACTCGGCGTCCGTCTTTCTCCCATTTCACATTGGGAAGTGGATCTCCTGTTGACATGATATTATAACAAAAAAGTATGAAACACTAGTGCTGGCGTTCGTTTGTCATATTTTTAAAAACAGTTTCGTCATCAATTCTAAAATGCTGGGGGGGG